GGTAAAGGTTGCTCGCATTCTTATAAAATAAGTTTTAAGAAGATTACTTCAAAGAGCACTGTGCTCAAATTGCAAATTTGAAGCAGGACCAAGGAAATCAAGATGTCATGCAAAGATAAGATCATCAAGATCATGGGTTGCATTATTATTTTTCAATTAATTGACTTTCCACTTTTTTTGGGGTGCTAGTGCCTTTTCCCAACCGCATCCTTATTTCCCTCTTTGTAGCAGGTGAAATACCTGGAGTATCCAAGTGATATGCCTAGTTGGCTGTGAGGAAGGTTCAATTCCTACTGTATCAAAAATTGTGCATCGGATGGATGCCTAGGCATTGAGAAATTGTGTCAACTACGTCAACTATTTAGTTGAGACCGAAGATGTAGGACGTTCGTTCTAGATAAGAAATAATTCTTTTTGTAGCATTTCATGAAAAAATATATTTCTTGGTCCGTTCCTTATCTTTGCCAGAGTTCTCTTTTGTCCGCAGAAAACATAAATTTTTTTAAGAGCGGAGGTTTGACGTGAAGCTAGAGAAGTGGTTTGATAAGTAGAGGGAATCAAGGTTGAAAGTGCGTTCTTTTGACCCCTTGTGATACACTAATCCGTCCCAAAGAACATACATAATCTTTATTCATTCGCTGCAATTTATGAGCATTTGCGAGTTGGACCATGTAAGAAATGTACTTGAAAGTTTACCTTCATACAGCTCCAATTCATTCTCGTAAATGGCTTGATGATTTTCACCTACGACCACTCTTGGGAGAGTCACGTAGTGCCCAGACCCTTCTTGAACCCTGTTCGTAAGTGATTCCTTCTGGTTTGCTGCCAAATTTTGCTTAGATCTGCTTGCGTCTCCTGAAAGTCTGGGGCCTTTTGCATGTGATTCACTGTGCACTATTTTTAACGGGCCAGTCATTCACATTGCCCGGTCGGACGATCGACGGGCAAAATATGCAGCTATACTTAAGGTGTGCTTCCTGATAGCCGAACACGGCGCGGTTCCTGCCCTTTTTTCTAGCTGGGTGGCGCCATCATGCTGGATGTCTTTGAGTCCGACTAAAGAGAAAAGTGGAAAAGCTAAAAGAGTTACGTGATGAATGATATATAAAAGGTACTTGATGAATGATGACCTCTTCACTAAATGTTGTGGTATGTAGTGAATCACAAGTTGTTATCTATTAGATCTCAGTTTGATAGTTATTTTCAATCTCTATTGGAATCCAAGGTTGGAGTTTTCTGTGCACTACATAATACATCCATCGTAGTACACACAAGGTTGGGGTTATCTCAGGCGAGTCAACTCGAACTCAGAATTTGAACTCAAACTTGTTCACCACAGAGCTATATTAAAAAAATTTGGTCTTGCCATTATGCAAGAGACCATATATTAATGTAGTATCACTACAAGAACAATAAGAGCATTAATCCTGTTTCGGGGGAGGTATTGACAGTTGGAATGAAATATTCTAGCATGTTTATAAGGACAGTTAGAGACCAATGGATCGATTGTGTAGACATTACCTCGTGACACATAATTGATACACTTAATAATAAAGTCTTGAATTACAAAATAGTTCCGAAAACCCTCAGAGAAATCTCTACGCCTTATACCTCTCTCCCCCAATAACTTTTACATAAATTTCAACACCTTAAATTTCTTGTACGATGACACAAACAACACGAGACTTTGCATATGGTGATCAAACGCCAATAACTTTATTAAAATGTTTTTAACCTCTCTCTCTCTCTAGCCATACTCCACTCGCTCATAAACTTATGAATTGGTAATGACCACTTCAGACCCAACTTGGAAGTATAGTTGGAAAATACTTCATCTCTGTCTCCCGGACATCTTCCTTAAATGAAGGGCGCGATATTGGGCACTTATTGCTCCCACCCTTTGACTCCACGAGGTCCGTCGGAGACGAGGTTACCATTGTTCTTGCAGTCAAGCACATTGACCGCTGACGATCCTTGCAAAGACCGCGGCCCAAATTCGTCTTATTCTTTTCGTTTTTCAAGAGCAACCTTTGAGTAGACATCTTCCAGCCGATGCTTTTTCTGATTTAATTTATGTCGTCAGATACTGTATACACAGGATCCTGTCATTCTACGTTTTAAATGTATACGTCGAATTTAATTGTCGCGTAGCCTCACAAAAATCTGATCTTTGTAGCGGAGCCGCGGTAGATTCATTTTGTCACCCTTTTTTATATAAAGAATCTGAAGCCGACAGGAGCTTTTAGAAAAATGCAGCGGGTCATTGCATAGCTCCAAAGGAGTCGGGACATGAGTACCGGACGGGGCAGCGGAAACTGATATCTCGGATATTTTCCCAAAATTTGATAACAGTGTACACCTTCCTATTTTAGTCATGAGACTTATGTAAGAATGTAAACAGCAGAAGCCAACCCCCAGCCCAGCCGTCTCGTGTTCCTCGGTCGGTTGTCTTTTGCTCGGTTACTCTTGCTTGTTGGACTCTGCTTTGCTTGCCTGGCGCTCGGTTCCGTATGTTTTTGTATTAGCGTTGTTGCGCAATAAATTGAATTCAAATTAAACTTCTACAATTTTTCACCAAGAATGGAAACAGCATTTTTTAAGCTTTTTTGTACTGCTCTCTCTCACTTGCAGTTGCAAGGGTTTGCATCCCTCGCAGAAAGAGCAAGATTATGCTCAGATACTGGTCGACCGTCCAAGAATCAAAAAATGGTGTTATTATGTCTAGTCAAATAACTTCACTATAAAGCCACAAAGCAGGTTAAAAGGCTATATCAACCATGAGTTTACGACGTGTATTCAAGATATGGAACCCGACTGGATGATAAGTATCCTCTCATCTTGGAGCTGTCGAAAGTGTCAATGGACCTCATTGAGCAGCAGCTAGCAAAGTCGGCAAACCGGGATATAGAAAGAATTGACATACATATCTGTCCCAAGCTCAGGTGAAATATGTAAAAATCGATTGACATTTGTATTATTTTCTAGACTCTATCTGAGCATGATGCAATATGGAAGCCATGAACTTGTTGATATCTTGCTCCTATAGCAGGGTAGGAACAAAAGCTTATGCGAATGACAGATAAAAACTACACATTAATTTGAAACTCTACTTTAAATCCGTAACTTCAGCTGACCTTTTGCCGGTGTTGCACTGCACTTCCGGGCAGCCCTGCAAGAACGAGCAGAGCTTCCGCAGCCAGACATCTCGATAGGGTTGACATCTTATGCAACTTCGCAAAAGCTGGGGGAAGGTTCCATGCCCTCCTCCTGGTGTCCACGCAACTTCGACGATCCGAGCTCCATGTCTACACCAACTCTATGTCTCTACACCAACTCTATATCCCATTGTGTCAAAAATGTCAACTGTCTCGAACGGGAAAGCGTCCCGAGCTGAGGATTGCTGGGCCAGGCCAGCATTTGGAATCTACGTCCCTGGGTCCAGAGCAATGTGTATAGTGTGTGCGACAGGGAATAATGAACACAGCCGATGATCACGAAGGCTGGCACGGTACTTTGTAATCTCACCAGGTTCTATCTGGGCACCAATGAGTTTCCTGACGCAGTTGTGGTGCAGCCCCATTGGCCTGCCACGGAAGCCGAGCTCGGCTCTTTTTGACTTTCATGTCCATTGTTCTGCGCAAATGCCGCAGTTGTGCATGTCGACAGGCATCACTGCCTTGCAATGGACCAATGGCAGCAGCGTCGATACGTAAGAATATGAACGAAGGAGAAATAAAGAGACGCACAGCAAAACAAGCAACAGAAAGGAAAAAAAAAGGAAGTTTTAATTTACCGAAAACATTTGTCAGCCACTTTCGCCTGAACGAATCCGAGAAGTTATGGTGTTCTAAAGTACATGAGGAAATTACTTGATGGGACCCGGGAAAACTGAAAACAATTGATGGGACCCAACGGGTTTCATTTTACCCGATGGGACCCCATCGACGGCCTACAGCCCATCGTCAGTAATGTTCCAATGCGATTTGGGGTTATTTCGAGTAGTCACGCAAGACCATATCGGGCGTAATTCAAACTCATGGTACCCTTCGCTTTCTTAGACATGGGTGCGAACTCGTCGCCAAAATACAGTGGCGAACACTTCCCACACTATAGAACAAATCAATAGGTTATAAGAACATGGCTGACGGTGACTGTCGAATGGGGTCCATGGGGGAAAATGAAACCTGATGGGTACCTTAAAGAGCGATGAGTTTCCAAAGGATCCCATCAAATAATTTACTCAAAGTATATAGGGGTCTTTTCCGAGTTACATATTTTCCAAGTACATTCAAAATCGTTGTGAAATAAAAAGAACATGGAGCGACATGGTCATGAAATGAAATAACATTGGAAGATCCCAAACTCTTCATAGGAATTGTCACAAGAACCAATTGCGTTCAATTATTTAGAATATTTTGAATTAGTAAAAATCAAATGAAAACGTACTGTACTGTATTAGGTAAATTACAAAAAATTATTTGCACTGTAGTCTTATATATCTGTCATATCATAATAGGTTCACTCCCGATCATATCAAATGGAACATCTACAGAATATTAAATGTTCTTTGAATCGTAATTAATTTTTACCATCTTATATCTCAACGAGCCCTGGGACTCACGGTCTGACCATCGATGGCACGTCTTTCCGTAAGGTTAAAGCGCTGAGAGATGTAGTCCTGGACAGCGAAAGCCCATATGAATACCGTGGTATCCCAACGAAAGGCTGGATGGTTGAAAATCAAATCGAGGAGAAAGTTCAAATCAAACTTTAGAGAATAAATGACGAGTAATGTTGCTGAAAAGTCAATAGAAAGTATAAGCTATAAGACTAACTAAAGCGATGTGGGATTTTTAATGCCCATTAAAAGGTGGCGTGGAGTTTGTCACGTGACACTATCTCTTCAATTCTCGGTGAAGGTTGGCTAAGATATCGGGCTGTTGGACCCAGCCCGCGAAGACCGAGCCCAACTGACCGGAGAGCAATCGTCTCGTCGGCGGTCAGTCGGAGGATCTGACAGATACTCCCCGACGTCGGGAGATGCCATGAACGGGTACTAAAGGGGAAGAGCAGGAGGGTTTGGGTGGGCTCTTCAGACACTTCCGCACCCTCCCGTCGAAATTCTCAGAACTAGTTGCAGCATTCGTGCTCGAGTCGTAATCATGCCAAAGGGCGGAGAGCCGAGGGCCAAAGAGCCGAGGGACAAAGAGCCTCCCAGGAGGGGATCGAATCAAGTGAAGAAGCAGGTGATCAAGGAGTTTTGCGGGCATGTCACCGATATATACAATCAGTGTATTCATTGCGGACATACTCATTCGTGATGTCTCACGGGCGCTCGTTGAAGTTGGTTGTACCGTGGTTCTCCATGCCCCGTCAGAACGAGGCGTGTCTCCTGCTCAGTCTACAATGGCCAAGTTCTGAATGCGCATGGTCGTCCTCACGACGAGGTGCGACTGCTGTGAGGACTGTGCAGTTGAATCTCCCGGTGACTCTGTACAGCTATATGGTCTCATGATGCATGGATCCTCTGTGTGCTCAGCGAATGATCAGTGCTGCAAGTCGATAGTTTCGAATCGTCACCAGTGCCCGATGTTCAGGCAACAGCGGTCTACAACGCCCAGACGTTTCCCAGAAGTTCACTCCAGTTCCATTCAGCTGCTGCTTGGGGATTCCAAGCACTCGAAACATAATTTCACGTTATTATTTCAGTGTTTCGTTGTGGGATAAGTTCTGAATTTTGAAACCTTAGAACGAGCTGTAGCAGAGTTGCTACAGGCAGGGAAGTTTATTTTGATAAAAGAAGCATATCCTACGAACGAAGGACCTCTTAAATCTATGCCTGTACCACTTACTAGCACTTGGTTTGCCACTCAACCCCAAGTAGAAGAGATCTCCACCTGATGAGTAACCAGCCTTGGGCTCTGTACTTGTAAATTTGTAATTAACTGGGGCGTTGGACTTCTATTTGTACATTCAATCGTTTGTTACTTGTATGATAATAAATGACCAGGGCATTGGACTTCTATCTATAATTTTTACAACTTGTACTTTGTTCTGAAAGGAAATATTTTCAAAACCTTATTTACATACATTATTGATGATTTCATCACCCACTTCCTTCCTTCTTGAATGACAAAATTTTGAGTTCACAAGAGTTTTATCTTCTATCCACTACGGAGACCATACCCACCCGGGACGGTGGTAAACATACCCAAAGAGCGTCAAGTATAAACTCACGCCGTTTCGCCGTTTCGCCGTTGGGCATGCATAGTTTCATTCTGGCTTACTGTAGTGCAGGAAGGATGAAGAACTTCCCCGGCAACTTCTCATCATTCTCCATACTATTCTATCCGGCATGTAATTGGTTTGGTGCAAAATCTCGGCGCAGCTTCTCGTGTTTCTCAATGAACTGGATAACCGGATGAAGATATTCGAGACATATTCGCTGGCGGCGCAGTGATGAATAACAGCATCCCTCCAACTTGACAGGATGATGTTTGACATGGGTCTATGACTGCTGGTTAAAGTTCCCTCTAAATATTGTTTACATTATCCACCTTGTGAAGGAACGGTGAAGTTCCCTCCTTCGTAATAATAAAACGGTTACTTTTTTCTTATCCAAAAGTACGAGATGAGCAATAGCATTTTTTCTCAAGTTCAAAGATGTCCTTTCCTCTTCCATTTTGGTGTCTGTTCAGTGTTTGAGAGGTTGGTTTGTAAAGCTGCAATGGAGTGAAATTTCAAAAGTTTCCTACTTAATGATGTTGGAGATAAATTGTTTTCTCTTCATGCCCTCACACTTCCTGAAAAGTTTGTCCGCATGCATGTGTAGGAGTAGACCCATGGATTATGAAGCTCGATTGAAAACCACTGACAAGAGTACAACGCAAGCTTTTAGGCTAGATACGCATTTTCAGCGCACTTAAAGCACGTGCAGTCTCTTGACGATCAAGGGGATGGACCCTAAACTCAAACCTGCACCTAGAACTCGAAGCCACCGTCTTGCAGAGCTGGCTGCTTGCAATCTGAACTTCAGGCTACTTCAATGGTTCACATCATTTCCACGATTCATGGAAGAACAAGATGAGAGAAGTTGATACACAAGATTCGATCCGTTGTACTGTGGTTGGATGATGAAACCTCCGCCTACGTACGAACTTCCAGCTCGATGATGAATGGCACATAATGATCTGACCTTCATATAAAAGTTGGTGGTTTCTAGTAATGGCGCAGAGTGTCACGGCAGCTGTGATGAAATTCTACTCGTATGCTCATAGGAGATAGACTCAAGCAAGAACGAATACTTACTCACACTGATCTCGAAGTTTCTGAAAAAGGTACGAGAAGATGCAGGAGACAACTCATTCCAGATCAGTAGGATTGCTTGCGAATGGGTGATTGCAGGAAAGTCATTCAGTCTTCCGCGAGATTCAGTCGGTCTCTCTGTCCTGTTCGAGAGGCATAGAATGACTGGACAGGGCGTCCCGTCGTGCAGGCCGATGCCTGTTCGGTGTAATCCGTGGATCCGAACGAGAGCAGATTCTGCAAAGTTTGACGTGGCCTTCAGTGTTTGTTTTCGATGAGCAGATCCAGAGGTGGACATGAGATCCGTAGAGGGGAGGAGAACGGGAGCGAAGTTGTCGTTATTGGATCTTGGCCAAGGCCGCAGAGGAAGGCATCTCTCCTCTGCTAGGTGAAGTTTAGAGTGCACGGGTCTTCGGGAATTTGACCTCCGAGACCCTCATTTATTAATTTTGTTTTCTCGCACAACATTTCGGGTCGTGCACTGTAAGGCTCAGGGCCTAGAGCCGTATGGGGCTATGTGAGCATGATCGAGCCACCATGAGCGATTCAGCTGGCAGTCCAATCAGACCATGCACAGCCATCCCCACTGTCAACGACCTCCAGACATTAACCAGGGGTTAGGTAGAAAAGTTACGTGGCCGGACGCTACGCATCGTTGCCGCCACCGTCTCGGGTAATGGAGGGTGGGAGCTAGTGTTGGAGGCACAACTCAAAAGGCATGACCGCGGACGGGGGCATGCGTCATTCGCATTTTCCATACGGGGCATGCCCGTAATTATACGTAGATTCCAGAGTTATAGATGGTGGGATCAGTAAAAAAATTAATGGAAAATTATGCTTGTTGTTGGGGCTGCATGGTACTGAAACTGCTGTTGGAACTGGAGGATTTCCCGAGTATATGCAATGCTGTTTTTGTGTCGGTACGTGGGATGTAGACAGGTACTCCGGCTTGTTGATTATTTCTCTTTCATTGAAGTATGTTTTTTATACATTAAATATACGTATTTTTAATACGGGCATGCCTGGGGGCATGGGTCACCGGAAGAAACACGATAAAATTCGGTGCAAAGGAGCAGATGAGATTTGGGGAGCTCGGGGAAAAATGGCCGCTATCGAGATGAAGGGGAATTCCGTGCGAGCAGAACCGAAAACTAGCCGAAGTTTGCCGGATTTTCGGAAAGGCTGGACTTTCAGAATTGCAGAGTTTTTCTATTTTATTTCAGGTACACCTTTATAGAGCACCCTTTTGTGCAATTGCCATAGTTTCTTTGTCAATAATTGGGGGGAAGGGAGGGAGAGTGAGGTCTTTGGGTTTTCTTGAGGTGGGATCTAAGCGGTATAGGATGACAAACGGCCTGCCTTGACAAATTGCCTCTAGTCTTAGCTATGAGCTCTTGTCTGCAAGACATCAGTTCACTGATGACATCAAATGGGTATGAAAAGCTACTAAGGTCGATAGGCCAAGCCAGCCATATTGGAGATACATGGCAATTTACATAACATTAAGATTGTTTTCAATTCTGCCACCATGACAAAGGATTCGAATCCTGAACTCTTTGACACCCTCTTTATCGGAAAACTAATATATAAATTTCGGTGGAGTGAAGATACAAAATTTTTTATTTTCCTACTTTCGTCTGGTTTTCTTACAACAGAATACCATTTTATTTATAGATTCATAATACACTTGAAATTAGTATATATCATAAATGTAAAAACAGAATTCAAAACCGTAGAAGTTAATTTGACACTTTATTATTAAAATTGTTATAAATTTTTCTAGAAAACCAAACTACTTAAGACTTGAATCATCAAAAACTAAATTATTCATCTTTCAGAATGATCTAAAATTGTACTTTTACAATTATCATTTTAAATATGTACACTTTGCAGTCACAAATTTAATAATAAATTAATTTTATTTGTTTTTTAAGTCCAGTTCAAACAACTTTAAACTAGTAGTGGGGATGAACTTGTTATGAAGTTAAGGTCCAGTTGGAACTTCAAGCTATGTAATATTTGCTGCGTAATATACTTGTACTCTTCAACTTTTCAGGAAGTTTCTTTTTGGGCATGTCGGACGATCAGCGTGGGTAGGGGTCGGCCCGGCTCCTCAGAAGCCGGCTTGAGCCGGCTTCGGACCGGCTCGGCTACGAGCTTGATCAAGCCGGCTCTGGAGCCGGCTCCATTTATGGATAGCGGCTCAAGCCGGCTCAAACCGACTTCCTCATATGATATGTACCGCTATTTTGGCGAATGCATAATACACTGATTGCCATTGCCGTGGCGGCGCTGGGACCGATCTCCGCGCACCGTAGAGCTATTGACCGACTCTTTGAGCACTTATCGATTTGTGTTTTGTGAATTGTGTCGAGTTCTATTGTGCTTTGTGTTATCATCAGCTGCTGCTTGCTTCTGTGGACTGTGATCCAGATCCACTCGAACCTGAGATGCTGAACGATGTCTATCGATTCGGACGACGCGGCTCTACCCGGGTACGGTGCTGCCGACGTCGTTGTTGTCATTGACGATTCGGGCGACGACGACGACGACAAGCCTGTCCGTCGCGACCAGGCTAAGGCGGGCATGCCGGCGGTCAAGCGTGCCCGGCCGAACGCGCCCAAGTCGTCATGGATTCACGATCATACGAGCATTATCAATGATCGGCGCATCTGCGGCGTGGCTCCTTGCAAGTTGAGTTGGTCGACGAAAACGACAACGGGTGTCATCGCCAAGCACCTCGAGCAGCATCATCGTCTAACTGCGCAATCCAAGGAACGTGCTGCCGATCAATCGAGCACTCAGACCGTTCTGACGCAATTCGCGTCAATCAGCAAGTCGCGCTCGTGTCGCCTTGACAGCGCTGTCGCTGAATATGTTGTTGAATCTACATTGCCGCACACGCACACTGAGTCGAAACCGTTTAAGTCGCTTATGAACGTGTCAGTGCCGGGGTACGTGACGAAATCAAGTCGCACGACGAAACGATGCATAT